TAGTTTTATGTGTCCCATTATTATATCTGCAAGCGATTACATTTATTACACGGGTAGAACCCCTTCAGACCAATAAGGCGAGGTCATAGTTCTTTGGCGGATTAGGAGGGCATACACAGAATGTCGAAGTGGATGGTGCCCTTCTGAAAGTGATCTCCTGGAAGTAACTCGGCAGAGCGTCACCCAATATGGGATCATTTTATAAGAATGGCCCAATTTTTTTCTTGTTTAATTCTGAGTGAACCTCCCTGTAATTGGGATGTGAGAAATCCGTTAATGAACGGGCAAAACTTCTCTGGGTTCTTACCACCCTTTTCTCTACAGCAAGCAATCCCCCCCTCTCCTGTAGCCAACCTCATTCCCACGGTTTGATCTAGGGCCATGTACACTATAACCTTTCTCCACAAATCTGGCTTTAAGTAACTCCGACTGAATCCCTATAATCAGATATGTTAGTACAGTTCACTTATTCTGAGGAATTTGCCCCCTAGGGATATTATTCAGCCAGGTTGGATGGTGACAGCTATCAGTGGGTATGTACCCCATTTCTATCTGTACTCTTAAAAATATGTCCTGGTCACCACCTTAGTGCCACTGTTATATTAAAACCAGATCTAAAAGTTGATTTCCTTCAAATCATATTTCATACGGACAAGATTTAATATTAAGATCATTGTTATTTAAAGTCAAAGTTTTTAAAAAAAAAATCTTCAATGAAAACTCATCCCCCTTGCCACAAAAGAAACAGTCATCTATGTAGCGCCGAAAAATATGATGGGGAGGCCAGTCGGACGAGAGTTAAATTAAATCTTCCTCCCACCTGGCCATAAAACAGATTGGCCAGGCTGGGGGCAAACTTAGCCCCATCGCAACACCAGTGACTTGTAGGTAAAATGTATGATCAAACCAAAAAAAGTGTTTTTTTGCATAGCAAAATCCTGAAGCTCAAAGGATGAACTCCCTTTGTTTGTATAGGGATATAAGAGACAGTAATCTAAATAGAACCGGAACCGCCCTCAATTCCATCTTTATGCTTTATAATACTATACTAAAGCAGAAACATCTGCCGTGACCAAATAAGTTTTTTCATTAATATTAAGATCTTTTAGGATCCACCAGTATTTGTTTCGTATCACGTAAATAAGCCGTGTGGATTTCACCAAGGGTTGAAGAAAGAAATCAACATATTCTCCTATACGGGAATTAGTGATCCAATGCCACTAATAATGGGCCTACCAGGGGGGCATCGTGCATCCTTATGTATTTTTGGAAGCACTAAAAACATCACTGGAAAGCCGTGGAGCTGCTGGGCACGTACAGGTATGCTTTTTTCTTTTTTATTTATTAATGTTGTTTGCAAAACCTCGCTTGATAAATAGTTTTCAGTTCCTTTTTATAGGACAAAAGTGCGTTGCTTAGGTAAATCCACATGATATGTCTCACAGATATCCCAATACCCCACCAGGTATACCCGTGCCATTGTAGTCCACTTTATCCATATAACAACACTGCCTCCCTTACCGCAAAGCAGGTTGATCACAAGATCCTTAATGGCCAACAGGGATTGATATACCGTCGTTGATCTTTGGTATGGACGAAATGAGTAAATAATTCTCTAACTATAAATATCATCCAGATCCTTTAAAACCAAACTTTTAAAAGTGTTAATATGTGACTGTGCTGGGGGATTAAAAGGGGAAGCATTCCTTAAATTAGAAGGTTTAAAAGCATTACTGTCATCACCAGTACTATTGTGTATAGAGCGGGGGTGTTTTAAAAAGTATCTCTTCATAGATATCTACGCCGGTGAACTTGTGACATATCCCCCACATACGTCTGAATTTGTCTAGCTTTTTCTTGGGATGCAAATTTCAAGCCTTTATTCAATAAATTAAGCATCATCCTTATTAAGAGGTCTGCTTTGCTCAAATTAAATATCCTTCTGCCAAACTATCGCATGTTTCTCACTTTTTGTGGTCTATTGACCCTTTTTACTATCTCCTCGTTTTCCTCTGTACGCACGCTTCTTTTCCGTGTTGTAACCCCCCCCTAAAAATGATTAGGTTGGGGGGTTACGAGGAGCAGGTCCCAATAGATTGGGAAATTAGGGTTTCTTGTATTCTGATTGCCCTTCCTATTATTATTGGGGATTAGTACAGTGAATTTGATTCCCCATGATTGGACCACCCCCTATTTATTACAGGGATCAATATAGTTGACCAATTTTTACGCGTCCCCGAATTAGGGGACCTCCCATATATGATTGGTTATTTCCCCTATTATTACCCTTATTGCAATACGAAATTATAATTAAGGCCTCCTCTTGTGGGTTCCCTCCATGGAGACTCTACGTTGTCTGGGTGGTTGTTCCCAACCCCTAAAATTTTAGGTGAAATTGCTGGGTTCCTGCCCTAGGGTATTGATCCAGAGGGGTGTGATCTCATTGTCTCTATTCCCTAATTTCCCTCATCATCATAATAATGAAAAGATCATTGTACCTATTGTGGAGTAGGGACATTGTATATGTCCCTATATGGACCCCGCTCCCATGTGAGATCGGTTTGGAAGTATTGGCAGTAAATTGTTTACCGGGTATGGGTGAGGGCCGTGATCAGTACCCTAGGGCCTTCAGGGTTTAGGGTAACTTAGGTGCACCCGTCTATTTCTCTGTTGTTATTAGAAATCCTGCCATCTGAATACAATATTATTTTTGTAATCCGTTAGGTCTCTATTGTATTTTTTCTTCTTTTTAATTTTTTGTTTCCCTTTCGGTCTTTTCCAAAAGAGTTTGACTCGATCTGACTCGGTTTTGTATTCCTCTTTATTCATATGGGGGCAATTTCTCACTTAGTGTGCAATTTTCTCAGGTAGTTAAAATTTTGTTTTCATTTTATCAAGATAGGATAGCTTTTTTTCTTTTTACGTTGGTTACTGAGGAACCTCAATAGTTCCAAACCCATTTTTTGTTAAAAAAAGTAAACCATTCGGTCCTCAAAATTAATGTCTCATTTTTCCGGAGGAATATCCCACCTCAGGGATCTGGGGTACTAATCCCTCCTTGATGTATTTTTCAGGAGGGTGATGTCCCATATAGTTCTAACCTCTGACGTGGCGAGATTACTTAAATGGAGAAAAAAGTGCTTTTTGACACTTCCTATACTGATTACCTGGCGACTTTATTAGTCGCTCACTTTTTAGCATAATTTTTCTTGGGTGTATCTATAATATTACTTTTATTTTCATGATATTATGATTCTACATTGGAAGTTAGCCCTTACGGTTAATCCATATATGGGTTTTGACAATATAGTTTGGGTTTTTATTAAAGGTTTTAATTTAATCTCTGGATGGATGTGCCTTATTATACCAAAACGGGTGCTCTTTAAATGAGGGGATCTGGAATTAATATATGGGATGCTTTATTCCCAATTTTAAGCTTTAGAATGGACCGTATGATTGTCCATTACATCTATTTAATGATGTCCACTATATGTCTACTATGAAAATAAGGCATGATCCAACTGTTTTTGGTAACAATTTGTTTATATTTGGTTTTTTATATATTGATTGATAAAACGTTTTAAGGACCATAACAATATGGTGTTTTAATATCTTATTCACCTATGGTGTTTTTTAAAACATGGATTACAATCTTTCCTTTTTTTTATATATTTTTGTTATGTCCTATTTATTGTTGTTTATGATCCATGTATGATTTCCCTGATGGTCTAGTATATCTCACCATCCGCATAATAATCGTTGCAGCGGTTCTTTTTTTAAGTTTCCATCATTATAGCAGAGTTAGCAAGCCGTCCGGACCCCCCCAGGCATATCTATCTATTGGGCTCAGATGTGTGATGAGCCGTCCGGACCCGCCCCTGGCCGATACCTATGTGTGGGCTTGATGTCTAATGGCTTCAGTGCCCATATTCATGTTGCATTCCGCGCATGCGCAGTGATCGTCGTACTGGCGTTGACGTCACTCGCGCATGCGCGGTAATCCCCGGCGGCGCGTGGCGCGCTTACTGCTTCATGCGTAGACCGCGGTCATTTTTAAATCTGGGCGTCTTAGGGCAGGATCTACCCCTTTGAAAACGAGCGGTGTGCTCGAAACATGTTAGGGGATCCACCCTATGACGCCTATACCACCAGGAACCACTAACCACCAGGGAATTCTTTGATTGGATCTGGATGGTCATCTTTAACCCTGGGATCTGTGGGATATATATTTATATATGGTCCCTTTCTGTCACTAGCCACCAGGGTCTTTTAATTAAACCTGGATGCAAGCCTTTTATGTTGGTGGAACTACTAGCCACCAGGGAACCTAAGAATGACACCTGGATGTACCTTTCTATGCTGATGTGAGTTCCTTCCTTTTGTTTGGTTTTTTACTCTGAATAAACGTACTTCACCATTGATACCTTCTTGCCTCCTGGCTCGTTTTTAATGAGCTTTGTAAGGTGGTGATCTGGAATAAGGAGCCACTGGATGCCTGGACAACGTTGGACCCACTGGCCTTGATGTCCTTACATGACCAATGCTGCTCATGCTGTTGACCAGACCGTGATGTCCCTGTTGCTGATTTACATACAATGCCCATATTGTATGTAATTGTGGTAAGCGCATAACCGCACTATATAACATTTTTCGTTCTGTCAGATTGGATTGGGGACACCATAGGATCTTATCCGTCTGCCCTCCGGATACACTTTATGGACAATATGTACTTCTGTGATGATATATGATGACATTTTATTTGTAATTTTGTAGCGCTACATAAAAACTGACAGGTATTCCAATCCCTCCTCATTCTATCCAAAATTGAAAAGAAAAAAAGTTTTGCCTTTAGTCATACTTTAACCACTTCCCGTCTGGCCCATGTACATAAACAGCCGGATGAGAGCAGTGCAGTGGTGGGTGGCCGTTTATAAACGTCCTCCCGCTTTCCCTTCCTGTGCGCGCTCCCTGGGAGCGCATGGCACCGTGATCCGGTGCAGGCTGTGTCTGGAGGACACAGCGGAACACCGATCACTGTACGGGACCTCTGTGTGAGGTCCCGATCCTGTTTTCACTGATTGGCCAATCAGTGATCACATGAATAGTAGTAAGCAAGATGTCACTTCTGACATCATTGCTTACTACTAGTGAAATCTGTGAATGATCACAGAGGTCACATGGTACAAGGCTATTCACAACAGCCTTGTGCCATGTGACAAGCTGTGACCAATCCCAGCTCACACAGTATTTCTCAATGGCTGCAAGAATGCAACCACAGAGAAGTAGAAATTAATGCCTTTTTATTATTATTATTATTATTATAATACAGGATTTATATAGCGCCAACAGTTTGCTCAGCACTTTACAATATAAAGGGAGACAATACAGCAATAATACAGTTCAATACAAGAGGGATAGGAGGGCTCTGCTCCTTGCTTTTACAGCCTTTATGGGTGTAAAAGCAATCAGTGTAAAAAAAAAAAAAAATCTTCATCACCCCCCACAAGTAGTACAGTGTCACTATGGTTACACTGTACTGCTAGGGTGACAGTATGTTGAAAAAAATGTAAATAACAATATAAAAAAATAAAATAAAAATGTAAACTTTTTTTTTAATTATAATTTTTGGTTATAAACTAATTTGGGTTATTTCTTTTTAGTAAAAAGATAACTGAATACATTTTGGCCAAGATTTATGAAGAAAGATTATTTATTTGCAAAAGTTTGTAAGAAAAATACTTTTTTAAAAATGTTTGGACTTTTTCATTTATATAGCAAAACAAATAAAAATCCCAGTAGTGAATAAATACCACCAAAATAAAGTTTTATCTGTCTCAAAAAATGCTAAAAAATTCATATAGGTACAGTGTTGCATGACCGCGCAATTGTCATTCAAAGTGTGACAGTGCTGAAAGCTGAAAATTGGCCTGGACAGGAAGGGGGTAAAAGTGTCCGGACTTGAAGTGGTTAAACATACATGTTTTTTTCAGTTTAGTATTGCTTTAAATCTCTTCAATGTAAGATGAAATCCCCTTCACTGGTATAGGGGTCCATATTGTAGTGTTTCCCCTGTGTTCTTGTTCCAACTCTGAAATATGGGATTTCTCATCGCTTACTGTGTTCCTGGCAATGGTTTCCTAGATATAGAGGAAGAATCCCTCCAGCAGGGACAAAAATGACATACAATTGATTAGTTTTTATTCAAACAGTAAACACCAAACCTGTTGAGAATATCTATTGTATATAACATAACAAATATAACAAATACAATGAATGAGATGTTTGCTATTAGGGGTACTGTCATGGTGGTTTTGTATTGAAGAACAATTTTCTTGCAGTTTTTTTTGTTTTTGTGGTGTATAGTGAAGAGAGAATTACGTTCATTTATAGTCTCTATCCTATGAACAATAAAGAATTGATAGGGGAGAGTTAGCAGACAACTATCAGATAAGGTCTATGATAGTGCAGACTGTGGAAAAGAAGTCTAGTGTAAAGCAGAACTCTAGGCAAACAGTTCAATACTGTACACAGATAAAACAGCTATTCACCCCTGTGCAGTTATAAAATGGCATCAGGAATCAGCAGGTCTTGCAAGTCCCAGCGGGGGTTCAGGCGCGAACCACCATCTGTCTGTGAGAGTCAGCAACAGGCGAGAACAATTAGAAGTGATCTCTTACTGCACAGCTGCAGCTCCACTAACCAGATTCAGAATTCCCATAAAGAAAAAGGTGCATTAAAAAAAGAATTGCAAGAAAAGTGTGATAAAATAGAAAACTTTCTATGATGTCGGATGATCTGGATGACATTTGTGTTCAATGTGCAAGTATCAAATGCTCATGTAAGCGAATGCAATTTCATTGAAATTTTAAAACGATAGCAAATATGGAAATAAAGTTCTCCAATGTATTCCCAGTAAAAAAAACATTGAAATTTTAAATGATAGCAAATAAGGAAATAAAGCTCTCCAATGTATTCCTAGTAAAAAAACAAACACTATATCAAAATTTGTTGCTATATTAAAATTCTATCTGTCCCAAAGAAAACAATATATAATACACTAGGGTAGACTACAAAACCTAAACAATATAGTGTACAGAACTGAGACATAGCAGGAATGAAAAGAACACTCTGGGACTCAAGGGAGTTTATGGAGAAAAAGGTCCAGGGTCCAGGTGGTTTAAAGAATGTTCCTTTCCCTTAAGACAAAGGAATAAAAAAAGACTGCTTAATCCTGATCTGTACAGTTTCCTTTCTTGTGTTTGGCCATCCATTTGTTGAGAGGTTGTTCTATTTTCCCAATGTAGATTTTCATTCCCCGCTATACTGAACTTCATGTACCAAGTTATTTTGCTTGTGTGGGTGCTGGGTCTACTAGATATACATGATTTTGTCTCTGTGTATTGCTGAACTTGAAAAACATAGGGATGCAAAGTGTTTTACATTCCAGTTACATACAGGATGAATATCAAGTTGTGCTTACTCCTACAGCCATACCTGAGTAACAGTATGCTCCTTGAGAGTTCTGCGTTACCCCAAGAGTGTTCCAAGTTACTCCAGGAGTGATCCCCATTACCATATGAATGATCCTAGTTACTCTAGGATTGTTCCAAGCTATCCCCAGAATGTTCAGTTCTGAGAGTGTTTCAAGTTACTCTGAGAATGTTCTGCATTTCAAGGTACCCTGAGAGTGTCCCAAGTTCTGAGTTACCCCAATAGTGTTCCACGTTACCCAAGACTGTTCTGACTTGGGTTGAACTCCAAGAGTCACTCCAAATTCCAAGTTATCCTGTCTTCCTTGCAACCCCAGAGTTGCACTGCACATATCTCCAGTCACCAGTCTCTTTGCATCTTCTGTGACACGTGTGTCTTCTGCGTGTTTCCTTGTATGTTTCAAGTGACCCCTCGTGTTCTGTGATCACCACCTCCTCTTTGTACACCAGTGATTCTCAGTGTCTCCTTTATATATTCCCTGTGAGTTTTCCGAATTCCTGCATCTATGAGCCTGTGGACTTCTCATGAGGTTTCTGTGTTTCCAGCATCCCCGTGCTGGACCTCTGTGTACATTTATTTTCAGATGGTGCAAGAAATCTCCACTTCTGTCTTCCTGTGTTCCCAATAGCCATGTGCTAAAAAGAATTATTTTACTCTTGCCTTCCTATGATCCCAGTGCTCACAGAGACACTTGCAATTACTTTTCCAAAATTCCTGTTTCCTCTATGTCGTCTATGCATGCCTGTATCTAGTCAGCTGTAGCATTCACAGGTGTGTTTGAGGGCTGCAACCTGGGAGCTGTCCAGCATTGAAGCCCATCAACCCTTGCAGTGTTCTCTGGTGAATACCTAGTTCTCCTCTGGCTCTGCACCTGGAGCATGGTGGCTCCAAAATCCCGAGCCACACAGTTCAATTTTCACTACCAAACATGACTGAGTTAGCCTTGTGGAAAAAAAATGCTGGGGTGTGTGTTTGCCACATTCATTAGAACCAAAGAAGTGCATTGAATAAACCACAAAATGTCTTCAACTTTACAGAACAAGTCCAGTTGAATGTGACTAACTACTACTAGCTATGCCAGTGACAGAATTCCCAACATAACATGGCCCTTAATGTACTGATGTTCATAGGCACAGTCTAAAAGGTTTTTGAAATCAGCCCTAGTCAAGAAGCAAAGAAGTTTCAGTTACTTGACTCCGAAAGATAAACATTTCTGAAATGACATGTTGCTTGCACTGGTATTTCTTTTATAATGCAGCACAGCAAAACTGCGTTTTCCAAGGATAGCTAAGCCGCTTGCCAATGCATTATGCTCTTGGTCTTTCCTCTTATATATCAGACTCTTCTCCGTTTTCAGCTGGCACATGGGATGTTTGCAAACAAAGGTCCTTTAATTAAAATCTCTAGCTCTGTTTAATGATATGGCTGTCCCTTTGCCCGCTGTTTCCGCCACACACGGTATTCTTATAAAAAGCTTGCAATGGCAGGCCGAAGATGTTTGATTGGTGCCAACTCGGATGGTATAATTATGGAAGCAATTTCAAAACTGTCACACAATACTTAACCCTTTAGCTTTCACTGGCATATGCCCCATTGGCATCAAATGGGTACATTTGCAATCACCACAGCTAAACATTAAATAAATCATAAAACTATTCAAAGCAATTACAATAACCATAGAAATGCAAAGCAGTAAATTCAGGTTTAAATAGAGATTGTTAGTACACAGAGATAAAATATGATTTTTCATGTATTACTGACAGAGAAATTGTACTGGAATCATGACAAATAGCCATCTGAAAAAAAGAAAAAAATAAAACTTTCTAGCTGGTTCAGCATAGAAAGCATAGCCACACAGAAACCTATTGTAATCAATATAATTTAAATGTATTCAAGTCACAAATGTGAAAGACAGCATTATGCCTCACATTTATTTTAAAATGTTACTAAACTCAGGACCCTGCATTCACTATATCTGGTCTCCCACAGTACACACAACATTGAAATGCAATTATTTTAGTAAATATAAACTGCTAAATACCTTTTCCCACAGCAGTTAGAGCAGTCTTGTGATTTCTATCAATGTTCAGCAGAGCACTGGTTAAAGCGTGTAGGAGGAGTTTTCTTTTTGCTCTAGGAGGATGCAAAGCCCCTGACCTCTGTTTGGACAGTGTTGATTGGCCCTGTGCTAATCACATGCACTCTCCGAAGAAAAAAAAACCTCTCTAGCAATACACACCAAATTGAGCATGTGCAAAGTGTCCCCACATAATATGTCTTATCAGGAGATAAGTGGGGGGCACTAGTAGAAGGGGAGGATCAGAGAAGTCGGGATCAAACAATATTTTTACACAATGCAGAGGATTAACCCCTTTGTTCCACAGTGAGTATAACAAGCATGCTTTACTGGAAATATAGACTGATTTTACTGTTGTGGGTTTAGAAACACTTTGAGTTTATATGTAAGCTTTACGTTACATAGCTTAGCCACTTCAAGACCAGGCCTATTTTTTTTCTTTCTTTTTGTTTACATGTAATAATTAGTATCAGTATGCCTGATGTTTC